AACAATATCGTTTTTGGTTTGTAAATGGCATGGATAATGCATCTATAAGGGCAAATTTAAATTATATATATATATAATTTTGACAAGTTACGTATATTGGTTACAGGATTTCATCATGAGCTGACATCGGTTAGAGTACTGCACAACTTTTTCGTCCTAGTTTGGGACTCTTCATCGGTACGCACCCACCGTCAGAGTTCGAACCCTCGACCTTCTGGTTACAAGACTAGAGAGCTCGTACACTATTAAGCCATTGAGACCTGATCCAATGACCAGTCGATGAATTCTAACTTCTTGCAATTCACGACATAGCGCAACCGCTAGCCAATGTCATCCATGGTGAGTATTTGTCCTCACACCCCCTGACCTTTTGCACCCTATTGGTCACGACTTCATATATATATTATGAATGTGAGGTTAGCGATCACAGCTTTGATGATGACGAACATCAGTTTCTATCTTTTTTTATCAGTATAATTTACTTGATTCAAATTAATTATCATCATAAATATTCTATGTATCTAATTACAGTAATTAAAGTGATGGATACATCCATCTAAACATTTCTGTATTGCTGGACGAACATCGGTACAGTCAACCCCAATATGAAAATCTATTATAAATCTCTATCACAATCTGAATAAATACGATTTTCCTTCTCAGAAATTGTTCTCCCTCTTCGGGGTCTTGAATGTAACTTCTCTTCCACACACTCTCTCACCCCATAAATATAAATATTCCCTCAAGTTAACTGTGAGTTACATTTGCTTCCTTGTGACTAATACACTGAGAATTTCAAACCGAAATTACTTCAATTAATTTATTATTATCATTATTGTCCGATGATAGTAAGTAGGATAAACCATTTTACAAAAATATTTCGCATGTTGTTAATTTGTCACGCTACTCGATACGACTAGAACAGATCTTTTAATGACTACTTTACACACACACGCACATTCATACACGAAATGATGACTTAGATGATAATTATTAGAATCGAACTCACCACCTTACTCTCTCTCTCACCCTGCATCTCTTATTCGACGTAGGTAATTATTCTAAAGTAATCCTGGAATTTGTTTTTCTCCTCTGTCTGTCTATCAGAGGTATTCAGACAGAATGCTGCCTACGATGATTTGTCTATGCCACTGCCCTTCCCCCCTCCGCCTCTTGTTTTAGTATTATTCACCAATTTTTTTAATGCTATTGTTTACATTCTCTATAGTTTTAAGAGTAGAACTAATCGATAACTCGATGCATAGAGGTATTCTTTATGCATCCGTTTACCTACACCATTTCTCGTGCCTAGCCTAGCCTAGCATCTATATCTTTGTCTATCTGTCTAACAAAAGGGAAAATAATTTTGTGATAAATGGATCGATGAGCATTAAATTCATATTTATAAACTGTATCTAACTGTATTAACAAAAAAGATGCATTATTGTTCCATATCCTATCATTGCTTACCTTTTTGGTATGCTTATGCACTGGGAAATTTATCTTTTATGATAAGAAAAGAAAAGAGGAAAAAAGAATATGCATAATATAACGATCGATTCCTCTCACCTGTTTATTACACATATTTTCATATTTAACCCCAATATAACCAGATTATAAGCAATATGTGTTCTAATTGAATTATTATTCTATCAATCAAATTTGAAAATCTCTGGCTAAGTCTAGTGAAATTTTATGTGTCGTAGTTTATTTTCTACTGCATAGAAAATGTGAGAGGTGATTGGAAAAGATGTTCTTTTTGACCTAGATATACCAGTTGGTATCATAAATATCACCTAAAATCTGTAAGGAGAGATATCTTCACATAGGTCAGCACCGCTTAGAAATAGACCAGTAACAATGGTGCCGAAGAATACAGAATTTAATGATATATAATTTATAATCCACTCCATATTTTGATGTTTCTTTCAAGCCTTAAAATGCTACATATAGATGTAATTATTGAGTCGGTGGCACAACGGTTAGGACGCTCGCCGACCATGCACATCGTCCGGGGCTCGATCCCCTGCCGACGCACACTTGATATTAGTGGTCCGTCTGCTAAAAATTTGGGCTACCGATATCACATGATGAAAATTTCATACTTGTATCAAAAATAAGTGTATGTAGTCAAGCTATAATAGAATAAATTACAATTTCTCTGTGTTCATAAAATGAACTACTTGTGAGTAGTGATTACCAGCAACAACTGATAGCGAGTATGAATAAAGCGAGAACTTACAGTCTATCGAACAACTTACTCTTTTGGTGCAATCAAAAATGGATAGATACCTTTCTCATGTTAATTCTAACTGTATATTCAAATTTACATGTATCTGCGTGAGCAATTACATTGGAAGGACAGAAAGAAGGGCATATCTAAAGATTTTCTGAATATGTACCAAAAAGCTTATGTCTAAAGGGAACAAATGCTTTAAACAGTGCCATCGCCAGGCATCTTCTTCACACGGGTCATGAGGTGGACGTCTCAAAATCGTTCAAAATTATCAATAGGTGGAAGAGCTCAATTCTCTATCAAGCGCCTGAAACCTGATTTGTGCATTCAGAAAGAAACAGTTATCAGTCTTTCTTTGCCCTGGTAACTGGATATTTTCATCTTTCTTTCATCTAAATGCGTACTGCCTTAAAGTTTACATTATGTATGATCACTGTTGTTCGGAAGTGTTTAATATTATATATATATATATATATATATATATATATATAATTACTGTATGCATATATTGGTTTTGTTTAAAATAGACTCATTATCGTCAACAATGAAGAAAATCTAGACGACATCCTGAAGTCGTTTCACAACTGCCATCCCGCGATTCAGTTCATGCTGGAGAAAGATTCCAACTCCAAAATATCCTTTCTTGACGTCCAACTAACAAGTCGAGAACAGGATGGAACACTGAAAAGATCTATCTACAAAAAGTCAACATGGAACGGACAGCTCATTAACTTTCACAGTTGGGTACCTCTATACACCAAACGAAACCTGATCCGTCCTCTTAGCTGCAGAGTTTGCAGAATTTGTACCCCGAACACCGTAGAAGATGAACTAGACAATCTCAAGAGAATCCTCGTCGAGAATTGTTGCCCAGAACGATTTATTGCAAAATCTATGAATCCTAGACCACAAAAGCCGCCCTTGTTTAGTGCCCCTAAAAAACTACTCTACATGAACCTTCAATTCAGTGGATATATATCTGCGAAAACACTAAAAAATAGACTGTCGCGCTCACTCAAGAATACCTTCTTCGCAGCTGAACTATGACTAACTTTCTCCAGCATCCGCTTTCCAAGCGTATCACCGAACACTTACCAACATGGTTTTACAAAGGATTAAAATGATGTCCCCACAACTCCATCTTAAAACATCTGAATGAATCTGGACATCAAGCTACACCGCAAACAAACTTCAAAGTCGTCAATATAGTAAGAAGTAGTCTTCTTAAAGGTGTACGAATCAGACTTCTTCAAACTGCAGAAGCAATGGCGACTCACTTGCTAAGCCCTGAACTCTACATACAGAAGAAGTTCGTTCAATCACTACACTTGGAATGGACTTAATCTATCTTATTACCCGACAAGTAAATACTATTTAATCTTTTTTTCTGTCCCTTCATTGGTATTATTTTGTCTTCTCAATTGTAACACTTTACATTTTCAGCTTTCTTGTTCTCTACCCCCACCCGATTTAATTTCTGCACCTCCCTACCACACTGTTACTGACTTTACCAACTCTCAATTTCTAGTCATTTATATTACGACATCCAACTTAATTGCTCAATTTCAGTTCTAATTTAAATGGCACTATTATCTACCCCACTTCTACTTAGTCTCTACCTGTGATTACCTCTGTTGCTACCCTGACCTAAGTTACTAACTCAATCTTACTTTAGTTACTATCCAATTAACCTTGTTTCTATATTAGATCATTCTTTTATTACCTGATCAATTATCTAATTTTGACAAACCTCATGTACATACGCACACAAATAATTATATATAAATGCGATTGTACAGCTATGTGAATGAATTCGCCGAAAAGAGTCTCTTCGCTGAACGTCTTCTCTTTTTCATATGTTAAAATTATTTCTGTAGATGTATTTAATAATGACTGTAGCCTTTAAGCAGCTGAAGAGAAGGCAACGAAATAAGCAATGATAGTACCACTTTATTCTGCAAAAACTGTTGTTCTTGCTTTATTCAAATTTATTAAGGAGAATAAATGTATGCTAGCGAATACTTTTTGTTCTTTTGATTTCAATCATTTATCTAACAACAATTCATCTACTAGTCAGTCACTGATGATATTTAGGTAATTTAGTTAATTTTTTGTTTGAATGGACAAAGTTTCGGTAACACTACGGTATTCATATGATGAATTATTATTATTATTTTTCCCCACCTTTTCAGTCAGTCCAGTCCATTTGTCGTAGATATCAAGAGAAGTAAAGTCTGAGAATTGAACACAAAATCTTTGTCTACACTAGAAAAAATATATATACATATATTTTTGCGGTTTCATTAGCAAAACCTTCAAAAAAAGCGAAAGTTCTTCTCGGGAAATAGATAGAATAACAAATTTCGGAATAAGCCGCATGGAATAGTATATCCAGCTTCTTTTTTCTTTTGGATAACTATGCCACCATCCAATGTGTATACGTGGTATATAAATATATAAATGTGTGTATATATATATATGCGTGGAAGAGGAGAATAGAGATAACAAACAAGGATAAAGGGGAAATAACCCGTATAATTTTCCACCTGATTGTTATCAGCAATCCTGATGAATATATATGCATGAGAAACAGAACATATAAGGGAATATTTACGGACAAGACATACGTATACACACACTCACACATACCACCTCTTTTATGTTTCAATCAAGATGGAAATTATTCTTTTGGGATTAACTAACTCCTTTTCTCCTCTCCTCTAGTATATATGATGCTGTTACTTTCTTTTTTTTATGAATTCAGGTTAAAAGCAGATATCTTCAATTCCTCCGATCAAAATACAATTCTTACAAATCTCAATTCATTATCTTCATCAGCTTTACCACCAAGCTATCCGTCTGAAAAGCATAATATTCTCGCCAATCCTGCCCCTCCTCCTCCTCTTCCTACCACTACTACTACTACGAATATCAATAATAATAATAATACTAATAGTAGTGCGAATGAAAAGGACACAGTCACTAAGTTGAATATCAACCATGCAACAAGTAATGCTTCCCCAACTTCACAAGGTAAGTGGTAATTTGGAAGTTATTGCCAAGTGGATTTACGCATTAGTTTGTATCGTGAAACACTTCAACTTTTTTTTATATCACTAAACGCTTACTGATAGCTTATAAGTCTGTCGAAAATATACTTCATAATAAATAAAGCAAAAATTATTGAGCAAAGAATATTGTTTTCAATAATTTCCTATTCTGGCTCTATAATTATGCGTATATGCTTATATACATAGAATATTCTAGATTAGTAGTCAATAACAATATTAGTGGGGTTTTTTTTAAATAATATCGATTTGTAAAGTAGCATCAATGGAATTACAGTTCAATAAAGACGCTTAAATTATAATAATAACAATAAAAATATAATACCAAATAGAATATCAACTAAAATTAGGAAAATTCCACAAAAAATTCAGGATTATTCAAACCTAGACGGCCAAGGTAAGGATAATGTCTGAACTAGCTTCTTTCGGACACATAAATTAGGCGTCTTAATGTGGATCCCAACAGCCCCACCAATATTTAGTAATCGAACTCTTAAGGTGAAGTTACGATTTGTTGGTATGGGGTAAATGACTTTGAAGGTCGCCTTGTTGACATTAATCTTGTGTTCTGTATCCACAAGATGAGATAGAATGGTGCTACGAATAGATTTTGTTTGTCCTTTACTTCGCCATATTGGGTGATGTTCGGAAATTCGAAGAGAAACACGTCTTATTTTACGGCCTATGTAGATGGCTCCACGGGAGCAGTTAAACTGGTAGATACACATGGATGAGGCGAAATTAAGCAGTTTATCTTTTACTCTCGAACGCAAAATAGGGTTGTTTTTGAAGAGACAGTGTAGTTCAGTAGCATGGAATACTCTTTTTACTGCATTTCAGAGGCGTTGTGTCAGTATCTTGCTGATGTTGTTCTGGAGGAACTGAATTTGTTAGAATAGGGCCTTTTCAGGAACTGTTGGTGCCTTGGGCTGCTGTGATTTTAGGTTCATATTCTTATCAATAAACTTTTCTGGATAACCGTTTTCACTCAGCAACTGTTTAATATTATTAAGTTCGTCATCAAGACATTCATCCGAGCAGATCGCTCTTGCTCTGTGAACCAATAAATTCATGATATCATTTGATGTATCTTCCCTATTCACCAATGTACCACTCATGGAATCAATAGAATTTGTATTCGAAATTTCCTTAATTTTAGTTGTTATACTGTTTAGTATTGTATTATTATTATTACTATTATAATTTAAGCATCTTTAATGAACTGTAATTCCATTTATATTACTTTACAAATTGATATTATTTAAAAAACACTAATACTGTTAATAACTACTATTCTAGAATATTCTACGTATATAAACATATACACATAATTATAGAGCCAGAATAGGAAATTATTGAAAAGGATATTCTTTGCTCAATTATTTTGTTTTTTTATAGACGTTTGAATGAATATTTTTCTCGTAAATTAACACAAACACAGTTTAGTCAGATGGTTTTGTCCTTTTAGATGAAGACGTAGACAAAATCCAGAGCCTTCAGAATACATTCAACAGAAATCTTATGCTTCGTATGCAATTTGCTCCTGTTAAATGTATGATGATGCTGTAGGACTTGACTATACCAACTCTTAGTTCAACTATAAGGAATGCAGTAGTACAGCATGTTGACTACTTCATTTATTTGCAAATTTGCATCTGCTCTGATGGATTGATTTCTGATGAAATCTCAACACGAATAAAAAAGGCTCGTGTAGCATTCACCAGCTAATGTCGTCTTCGGCTCAGATGTAAAATCTGGCTATCGATCAAAGGACGTGTTAGCTGCGCAGCGTTTCACCATGTCCTTCTTTATAGCTGTAAGACAACTAGATGGAAGTGGAAGACATGAAAAGGCTAGTTATCCTTGAACACAGATCTTTGCGTTCTGTTTCACGTGTTAAGTAGTATAATATGGTGAGTAATAGTTAGGTTATTCTTAGTGTTTAGATAAGAAGGGCAAGTTAAATGATGAGGTTGTCTAGCTAAATTGATTAGGATGGCTAGGACACGTGTTGCTGATTTTTAAGCCACTACCTTTCTTGACGAGCAAAGTTAACTGACGTCAGTTTGGGTTGGTTGAATAGCTAGAAATGGTGAAATCGAAACCTTGAATCAGTCTATGGAGATTTTGACCGTTGGATATAGCCACGTCTGGATGTGTATTTTGCTTGACTGTGATCCTCAGCATTCTAAGAACCAATGGGTGGAGACTATTGGTGATATGCCTCAAAATCGTTCTCACTGGCGCAGACGCATTCACTCTTTATGATCGCCTATATCTATCAAACCGTCGTATTTTCCGTATCATTTTTTTATTTTTTATTTCAGCTTGATTCCACACCGTTTTTTTTATGCAGGTATGGAATTTTCAGCATTTGATATCGGTAGCCCTAATTTTGCAGGCCGACCATAGATATCAGGTGTGCGTCGGCAGGGGTTGAACCCCAGACCATGCAGATGGTCGCCGAGAGCCCTAACCACTGTGCCACTGATGCACATTATTCTCTTTGCTGTACATTTCTGCTCATTATAGTCCTTTTGAAACTTCGTTGTCTACTTTTTTGTGCTACATGAAGTGTGGCAAATCCAACTATGCCCTTCTCCACAAATTTCTCTATTTAAACTCAGTCAGTCCAATATCTATAAGGCTTTTTATTATTAATTCTCGGCAAGAAATCAACCGGTGTCAGTTGGCTTGATTGTGGTTATATAATAACTGGTACTGAATGAGGTCTATTTTTAATCAATACAAGATATGGTTGAATTCTGTGAATTATCTATGAGAACACCTTATTCAGCTAACCATCAATTTCTTTTCACTATTGGTAAAATTTATTTTGATAAAGTCTCACAGTGTTATACAATAATATTTACGGATGACGTTGTGAGCACAATTTATTGCCGCTCAGAATCATATCAAGGTGGAATGGAATGGAATTATGCTCTAGCACAGTGCACAAGTTTTATTCTTGCATCAATTTCTTTGCCTATTTAAAAGAGTTACATGATTCCAGTTTCTGGTTGTTTGCTTGTTTTCTTATGAAATGTTTTTCTATCCATGATTAACGAAATACCACTATTGAATGGAATGAAAAAGGTATCTCTAGCGGATACTCGTTGCACAACAGGCGGCTGTCATGACCTAGTGGCCTAGTGGAGAACGCTTTGGCGTTGGAAATGACGCATGCTAGGTCCAAATCTCAGAGGGAATATCATTACTTACGGGAGACGCAGGTACATCCAAATGACGCGTCCCGAATACCAAGATGTGGACATCACCGCGAGTCTCCATCAACCTAAATGATATCCTTATAGTCCTTACTTCCCTGGATGTTTACCTTATAGCTGTAGTTCTCAAAGAAGAAAGGATTGTAAGTCACTACAAAATATGGAGTTAATAAAAGCATTTTAACACTTGCGTTCAGAGTAAATGGTAATACTTACCTATTGTAGTTGATTGCTAAGTAACTTTACAATAAATGATATCTATTTGTATAGATTATTTTCTTACAGACATATTTTTAAGACCCATTTGTTCTTTACCTGGTTATTATTTAATTTGAAGACCTAAGTTAGAAATGAGGGAAACGATTTATAGCTCAGGTGGATGATGATATTGATGTAGTTCCACTGTCTCAACTGGATGGTTTATTCACGAAGCTTTCACTGTCTTTCTAGATGATATGTTCAGCGCAGACTTCAATACGAAATGAACTTTTAGACTTATTCATGAGTTTATTAGACATCTCATCTGGTGACTTTGAACGTGATTGGTCGTTCCCAGTGAATTTCCCACCCTCTTGTTTTACTTGTATTGCTATTGATTATTTTGTTGACCTGATAGGTGACCTTTCTTCCATTGTGACTTCCTGTCCATTTATATTGATTAGATGTTATCTGTGTCAATGTGTATTTCAATTGCAGATTTGTCTGGGTACTAGGCTTTTAGAAATTCTCTGACATTTTTTGTTGTTTCCTTTGTCTAGAATTTGTACAATTTTTACAGTCAAATAGGTTTCCGTAGTTATTTTCGTGCATCAATCTAGGGGAATGGATATTATGTCCTTTGACAGCCAGCTTATGTTCGGGAATGCGAAGCCGAAAAGGACGTCCAATTTTACCCATAATGTTTTCCACAGTTGTAATTTATCTTGTAGTTCATGTTGGATTCTTCTTCTTTTGCTATTGCGTCTTTTAACTGACACTAGCATGGACTTGAGTGATTTTGTTGGTTTTTTGGTAACATCTATTTGAAAAGGTTTCAATGATCACTCAGTGATTTGGAAGATTTCCTTCATACAGGGTTGGACAATTTTCCTTTGTGATTTCATTGTCCGGATTTTCTAATAAAGTTTTGTGGATATATTCATATTGCTGAAAGAAAGTCATAAGCTATTTGTCTTCTAAGCTTCTCAAGACGGAAGTGCTGCAGTGTGTTCTGGCAGTTTTGAATAATGTTTATATGCAACTCCTTTTGTGCACTGTCGAGTGACTATAGTTGTTACCAAGTACTTGATCGGCATACGTTAGTTTTTTGTATTCCTGAGTTTTTCACTTTTCTGTGCTTGCTAGTTTGACCAAGACATCTGTTGTTTTCGGATCCTTCTTCTCTTGTGAATTTGATGGCATCGAAGATGTTATTGATTAGGTTGTAGGAGTTTTCTAAAATGCTTACCATGAGTGTGTGTCATCTACGTAACATATACAAGCTTAAGGTTTGACTTTTAGCAACTGAAGAATTGTATTTTTGAGTGTTGGAAGAGGCACTCATCACTACTGAGTAATTATTGCATCGTTTCGTTTGATAGTTTGTGTCCAGTTGAAGTGTACGATGTTGCGACATCAAAAGATACCGCAATTTTATGATCGTCTGTTTGGATGTCTTTCATTTTCTTCAGAAGTTGACTTGGCTATCCGATGGAGTGAGCACAGATTTCTGTCAGGTATTTCAGTTTAGAATATATCCTGATGACTCAGTGAAGGAGAGCATCACAGAGGTAGCACGAAAGCGGAAAATCTCCCGATTTGATTTTAACGCATTTCTATTGCATCTCATACCCTGTTCTCAATTGTTACGTCATAAATATTTGAAGTAAAGTCAAACTAGAGCAGCTAAAACTTTATAAAAACAATACTTTTAATTCTCCTTCTAAATGTGTTGTAAACAAATAGACTTTTTTAATACTTGTTTTTTTTTACAGTAAAACAAGGCGCTCTAATAGCCTCCCAACCAATCAAAATCAATTATCGAGAGGAGAACAAAGATCGCAGAGCTAAACAGTTAGATTTAAAGCATTTAACCTCTGAAAAAATCCAATCGAAATTCCCTACGAACGCTGAAACGACAAACACAAATGAACACTACTATGCAAAATCTCAGTCTACACAAAATAGTCAACCGAGTAGTTTATGCATGTCACCAAGATGTCCACCAGATGGTGCTGCAGCGTTTCATGAAATTTCTCCGTCTAATCTCCTCAATAAATCAAAGAAATCTGTAATATATGAAAATTTAATTGATAGATATTTATTGGTAGAGAAGAATGAATATTTGAAAAAAGAGTTAATGACACAACAAGCACTAGCTACCACTACCACAACTGTTACCACCAGTATTACAACAAATACTGTCACTAATAATAATAATAATAATACAAGTACAATAAGTAATCATCCCTTGACTACTAAAATTACTGATCGTTCAACACAAAAAGTGTCAAAGCTTCAAGAAAAGTTATCTGAAGTATCTGAGAAAGCTTCTGAAGTCATCCCACATACTTCTTCTGGTGTAGCTAGCGATAAAGTAAGTTTTGAAAGGGAGTTCGTGTATGTCTGCAACCTGTTTACATTCTTGTTTTACTCTTACAAATGAATGGTAAAATATGATTATTCAAGTGTTGGTTTGTAGGGATTTGATTGATCGGTTATAAGATTTCATGATGAACTGATATTGGTTATAGAACCAATGGAAAACCTGGAAGTACTGGACAGTTGTTACGTCCCAGTTTGGGACTAACCCTTCGTCAGTACGCACCCACCGCCATGGTTCGAACCCACGACCTTCTGGTTACAAGGAGAGTTCGTAGACTATTAAAGCCACTGGGACCCGATCCGATGGCGCATGAATTCTAACTATGCTAATTTACGACATAGCGCAACCACTAGCCAATGTCATCCGTGGCAAGTGTTTGTCATCACACCCGACCTGCTGCACCCTATGATTATGATTATATTGCAACAATAAATGAATCAAATTAAGTTAGAAGAGTAATTGGTTACAGTGCTGAAGACGAGTACACCCTTCAGATATAATGAGAAAGTATTTCTTAACGAAAGATGCTCATGAAGAGATAAATTGACACTAAATTAGATGAATTACACAGCGATGTGTGTCGGTGGTTCAGCGGTAGAATGCTCACTAACCATACACTTGGTCTGGGGTTCGATCCCCGGCCAATGCACTCCTAAGCCTCGGTTAGCCGGTATTGGACCTAGTAAAAAGGAGAGGTTCGTCATGAGACTAACAACTCCACCCCGTGAAAACGATAACACCACTTCTACTAAAATTCAACAGCTCAAAGCTTGAAGCCCTATGTTCCACTGGGAACTCAAAAGGCATAAGTAATAATTATAGTACATACACAGCGATGATATCCCATATCACTATATGTATCAGTTTGAATGAGGGCCACTAGAATAGAAGCAATAAAGGAGCATTTTTGATACAACTGACCACATGTGTTTATTTATTTATTTTTTATTTTTGATTACAGCTTGATTCCACACTGTATTTTTGGTACAAGTATGGAATTTTCAGCGTGGATATCGGTAGCCCAAATTTTGCAGGCCAACCAAAGATATCAGGTGTGCGTCGGTGAGGGCTCGAACCCCTGACCATGTGCATGGTCGGCGAGAGTCCTAACCACTGTACTCGAATAAAATCATAAAAATGCAATTTTCTCTGATTAACTTTGAAATCTACTGTCTAGACAGAACTATAAGTCAATATTTAATGCTTTAAATTAGCATTGAGCTGTGAAACTGTACAATTAAATACCTCGTAAAAAATGTTTCCAATGCAAAATGTCTAAAAAATATGTTTCTGTCACTACATGAACACAGCAACCAACTATGCTGCTATAATTAGTGTTGTTAATGTTATGCTATGCTAAAGCATCGCTCAAAATACGTTGATGATAAGTTCATAAATTGACGTTTATACAATTCAATAATACAGATAATAATTTGCTTTACTCAAAAACGGTACTTATGATACAGTATGTAATTCTCAGTATTTGGTACAATATTGCATCTAATTTACTCAAGAATAGCAAAAGCGATATATTATATATGTTACAAGGCATAGGTAACCAAGATGAATTATATTATTAATATTTCCTTTAGTTCCTAGAGGAGGAACATTGGGGTTCAGCTGCACGTCTTCATTGTGTTCGGTTCTCTGCCAACGTTTTCACCTGGATCCACGCCAGCCCACATTCTTTCATCTTCTCTTCACATCACCTACTCCATGTCACCCTCGAACTGACGACCGACTCGCCGCTTCCCGTTCTGGTTCCACTCTGGGGCCTGGTGTGTGATGTCACTCACTTGATGGTTTTCTCAGAGTATGGCATATTTGTTTCACAATTGGTTCCTGGTTGGTTCGGTCGTTGCCAGAGATCCCTGCTGCTGATCTTTTCTGGCTGCCCATCTGATCTTGAGTAGTATTGAGCGAAGACAACTGTTGATGAAGGTCTGTAGTTTGTTTGAGATGCTCTTTATGACGCGCTGGCCAAGTCTCTGATCAGTATAGTAAGTAGCACTGACTGACTTCACATTGGAGTTGAAAATCCGGATGTTATTTTCATTTTCATGCTGAGTGCTGTTGATCTCCACACAGACTTGAGAGTAATGAAAGGTAGTTTTGCTTTCTTGATCCTTTCTGCTTTGATATCCTCGTCAGTTCCACCTGAAGTTGGTATTAGCGGAGACAATAAAGTCAGAAATGTACAAGAAGTGTAAAATGAATAATAATGTCAATAACTAAAATTATAAGATAATTGAAGAAGTAGTGTCACCATTATCTACAAATAGGAGAAAATAAAAGAGCCATTTATTTTGCTAATTACACTTTACGCTGTAAGTTCCACGACTAACACTATCTCTGTTACATAGAACACGGGCCAGATAATGTATCAATGGATTTTTGTACTTGGTTGCGTGAATAAAAATGATAATGAATTCAGCTAAAAAGTGATAAGTAAACGTTGAAACTACCAATAATGTAAAACAAATTTTCACTCAAAGCAATGTCGAATAAAATGTTTGTTTGTACGAGTTGATCACGGATTTGATATCAGTTAGAGAGCTATTGGAAACAAGTATGGAATACTAGACAGCCAAATGTTTCATCCTAGTTTGGGAATCATCAGAAGTACTAACCTACCACAGGAGGTTTTAACCCAGGATCTTCCGGTTACAAGTCAAGCTCGTATACCATTCAACCACTGGGACCCAGTTCACTGGTCAGTCCATGAATTCTAACTTCTACCAATTCGTAATTTATCGCAACCATAAACTAATGTCATCGGTGGGAAATCCATCCTCACTGGATGGACCTTACTTGTCAGGATGAAGTTGCTAAAAGTTCTAGTAGGAATTCATGACCACCGGGGGCCACCAAGCTGCGTATGAAGAGAGATACTTACCGATGACATTGACTGAGCATCAGGTCAAGTGTGAGAATGGATTTCCTACATATGACATTGGTTGTTGCCAGTCGCGCTAAATCACGAATTGGTAGAAGTTAGAATTCATAGACTGGTCATTGAGTCGGGTTTCAGTGGCTGAATGGTATATGGGCTTGCCTTGTAACCGGAAGGTCCTGGGTTCGAACCTCATATGGTGGATGCGTGCGTACTTCCGATGATTCCCAAACTAGTATAAAACAGCTGTACAGTACTCCCTGGTTTTCAATGGTTCTCTAACTGATATCAAATCCGTGAACAACTCGTAAAAACAAATCTAATCCTCTTACAAACGAACAATTAAAAATAAAATGTTTGTGTTTCATTTTACTTACCCTTTTTGTATGGTTCTAACGAGGGTCATATACCAATAGTTCAATGGTCAATGATACTCTTTATTAGAATTCATCAATTCGATGTTTTGACATCAAGGAGCAGGATGATTCTCACTGAAACTTCCTTATTAGTCTAAAATAGATTACTATTCTTTTCTTTTACTGTATTTTCAAATAAAAGTTGATGAGTTGAAGTCATATTTACGACGTCAATCTGATGTGAACAGATACATTTGATGCTTTCCGAACAAAAGTAAACATCATAGTTAAACTCCCAATTCCACCTATAATACAATAGTGAAACTCATAGAAATATGAAGGTCTGTGTTTTATTTAAAGCAAAGACTATTTCAATAGGATAGAAATTCTCATCTAAAAGTTAACATACTTTCAAACTCAGGTTTTAATTTTATATGTTATAAATGTATTAGGCGTGTCATACGAAGGTGTTTCTTAATTACATACCTATAACTGTTGAAAGTTATAATTTTACATTGTGAAGAGTTCAATTTTCTGGATAATCGAGGGAGAGGGAGAGAGAGTATATCTCGCCTCAGGGTAAGGGAAGTATTTTCTTCGAAGTAATCGAAAAAAAGGATTGTTAAAAAACAGACACATTATTATTACCACTACTGCAGTGTAGTGATATTACAATGCAGTCTACTCATAAGAAAGGCTAACAAAAACAGAATAAAAAGGTGATTTCGAAAATTAGGAATTTTCTGCTTATAGCGATCAAGTCAAAACCAGACAAAACAGATAAAAACTGTTAGCGAATTTTTCATCTTATTATATGGGGAACTGCAGGGAATTATATAAATAAATATAGATATAAATTATATATATATATATATATATATATATATATATATATATATATATATATGTTCAAAGTGTTGATTGCAGGGATTGGATTGGTTTGAAGTTTGCTAACGAACTGAATTCATTTAAAGAACCATTGAAAAGCACGAAGTAGTGAACAGATTTCTCGTCATTGTCTGTGACTCTTCAGTACAAAGCACCCATGATCCCGTCGCCAGGGATCGAATTCAAGACCTAGTTACAACGTCAACTCAGTGACTATTTAGTCACTTCAAACCAACACTTGGAAATTATTCTAGAATCCATTAGTGACTGATTATATTTTTATATTTTATTATAGCTTGATTCCACACCGTATTTTTGATACAAGTATCAAATTTTCAGCAATGTGATATCAGGAGCCCGGATTTTGCAGGCCGACCATTGATATAGGGTGTGCGTCGGCCGGCAATCGAACCTCGGACCATGTTCATGGTCGGCAAGCTTCCTAAACGCTGTGCCACTGACGCACAGGATGAAGTTTCCTAAAGTTCTAGTAGGAAGTTATAACCATCGGGATCCACCAAGTTGGGTATGAGGAGAGATACTTACCAATGACATTGACTGGTCCTTGCTCTATGTTTACCTGAATTGGCAGAAGTCAGAATTGATGGGCCACTGAATTTCACCTCAGTAGCTGAATGGTCAAATGCCTCAGTCTGAAAATCCTTGGTTTAATATTTGGAGACGAAGTTATGAGTGTATACTGTTGAAGAGTCGCAAGCAAGGAAGAGACATTTTTCCATTATTCCCTGGTATTTAATGGTTCTTTCACTGAAGTTAGTTGGTGATCAGTCTTGTTATATGCATAGTCAGCACTAAATATGTAAATGTAGCCTGTAATAAACGAGTTCATTTCATTGTTGTGGAATAAAGCGTTTATAGATTTGTTGGTAATACCCTAAGAACATTATTTATGATGTATTTTCAGACTCAAATACCAATGGTACATATACGGCTAAGTTGCATTTTAAAGATCTGGTGACAAGTAGGTATTTTTGACCAAATTAGAGGTCTTTTCAATAATCATACTACATTTTAATGAAGACGTTCGTAGAAAATATCTCCTGAATTAAGCTTTTTTAGGTACATTCAAACTCATATTATCTAGCATCAAGGTCTTAGGAGTCTTTATATATGCTTTCATATCTTCAATATCTGTTAAATTACTCTGTGAGAAGAATTGTAATCTGTTTTATGGTCCTACAGTAACAACAGAAGACAAGGGCCAAGCAACAGATCGTTGGTTTAGGAACTCAACACATGACCAAATATTGGGGACGTACACATTAACGTAAATAACTATCTACCAATTTTGACTAACAGCCAGCTTCCATCACACTCGTCCCCCCGTCAAAGACTTGCAACTGAAGTTGGTTCGATCTTCTTGGTTCTAGGGGCTTTGTTCGTTTTTCTTGCTGTCTGGAATCTCGGCACTCGCTGATGTCCCCTGTTTCTCTTTGTTCACCATTGCGATTGTGTCCGCAAAACCCCATCTCCACATGACCATATGTGGTCCTTCCCACTTTGGAAACTGTTTGCCTGACCCTGTTGCACATTCGTCAGTATTTCGCCTCACACTTTCATATGTTGCTTTCTTCCGACCTCCCAGCAGCGTCCCAAGTGACAGCCTCATCGTTGAAAGATCTTGAACGCCACTTAACTGCGCAGAAGCCTCAATGTCCTGCCCTAAGATCCATATGTCTCCATCAAAAACTGCAGGGTATAGGCTTTCCATTTGTTGGTAGGCAGTGACACCAAATGTAACAACAGAAGACAAGGGCTAGGCAACAGATCTTTTATTTAGGAAATCAACACATGACCAAATATTGGGGACGTACACACTGACTTAAATAACTATCTACCAATTTCGGCTAACAGCCAGCTCTCACTACACTACCACACACACACACACTGTGAACCAATGAAGACTGTGGGAAGTTGTGTATTTATTAACACTTAACACCAGAAAAAAAAGGCAACTGCTGTTCACAGTTTGTGTATTACTTAGTTGTCGACTGGCGTCTCTTACTACATCCAGTCACCATGATATTTAACCAGACTGCTTCTAGAATAAGTCTTTTTTTGTCTGTGAAGTTTTGCTAAATAATGCTGTCATTTTTATATTTTCTTCATTTCATCTTATATACTTGACTTACTCATCTAAATTTCAATTTTTTAACGGGGGTTGAGGCGGGGGGCGAGAGAAAGGGTGGAATTCTTTTATTTGAGGCCTAGAAAGAAAATAACAACCCAGTCACACAGATAATATATACACTTGTGCATAGATATGTAAAAGGCGATGAAGTTAATTCTCCCCTACACAACTCGACAGTCTAAATCACCCACCGTCTTAGGCCACTGGAATAAAACACACACTCACCTATTGAAGATAATAATCGTAATGACTATGTGAGAATTTCATTTACTTATTATGATTATTATTATTATTTAAAGCATCAACTTCTGTGATGTACGATTGTCTCGTCTGAAATACATAGAGAACATACATCATCAAGGCTGTCGAGATAATCAAAGTGTTAATCAGAGGAGAATAATAACAATTCCCATGCCCAGCTCTATATTTATATCAGTATCTATACCCATGATAATTAACCATAATACCATTGAATATTAGTGAAGAAGTTAATGTCACCAAGTTGTGTGACAGTGGAAATCACAATGGTTTGGAGTCGTCTTTTTGTGTTAGCTGATGCTTATTTTATTTCTTTTAAGATTTATATAATGCAGTAGTACTGCATAAATATCTGTGCGCTTCATTATGAATCATCATCATCATCAGCATTCACTTCTTTATATGTCAAATAGTTTCAAATAGTTATGCTTGGTTATTTATTGAAAATAATACAATAAACTTGGACGGATATATTATATTAAACGTGTACAGTCATCTTTCGTCAGTTACTTAAATGAATTTTCTATTCTCTAAAGTGTGTTTTGTTAACTTAGAAATATCTAAGTTAGCAAAGAAGTCTGTCTCCGTAAATTATCTCTAAAGTTGTACAGTTTATTAAGGGGTTTACATTGGATTTCACTGACGATTTATGTCTAATGTCACACAAACTCGAAGACTTACGGGCGAAAACCGACAAACTGGCTGAAGAAGGTGCCAGCGAAGACAGAACTTCAGGTGAATACAGAGAAGAAGAAGAAGGTGAGGAAGATAACCAACCAACAAGAACAACTAACACCGATCCCTACCAGTGGGAGAAATTTGAAAGAGGTTACTTTCTTACACTTATCAAGGAAGCATCGTTTCAACTACAGGTTGAAACAGATGAAAACGTCAAAACCAGAATCAGAAATGCGAGACAGACCTTCATCAATCTGAAATCCGTTTCAAAATCTCCTACACTCAGCACATAAACAAAAAGATTCCAATTCTCGACACCAATGTTAAGTCAATCACATATTCTACATGGGTCAGAAATAAGGAGTGTGCGTCATGAGAAGCATTTCCAACAGTTTGCAGACTTTTTTCAACAGCTACGACCTTCACTGGCTGTATATTGAAGATCAGATGCCCAGCTGGTCAGAAAGAATTAGCAACAAGAAACTATGGCTGGGAACATACTAACTAAGAACCTATTGCCCGACAGATGTGTAGGGGGAAATGGAGATGCGACTGGGCACAGCCTGAGGAGACTGTCTAATGACATCGTGCTCTAGGGCATTCCTCGAATGGAAACCGGATGGGTAACGACGAGTAGGACTGGGATCTGAAGTTGGTATAGAGGAGATGTGAGGCTATGGGCAAATAAAAAGGGTTTCAGAAAATAGGACAAATTGAGACGTCCTGTTGAACTCCTATGTTCCACTCAAAACCCATGAGAACAACAATTATATAAAATAAAAACTGTGAATCGCCATCAAAAGTCGGACGTAATAAAAATAAATCAAAGCGTATGAGAAATAATAATATATGGGAAAAGGAGTCTAGCGTTAGGTAATCGGGAAAGTTGATGAAGGAACCCACCTAAGATACGCTGAATATGGAAGCGGAATCCCCAGAACTACAATCAGCATAAGGAATGAGAACCCAGCTTCCTTCACTTATAAACATTGCATGAGAAAAACCGATTCTCAGCAAAACATGGGTGTGCTGAAAAAAAGTCTAATTGTTCATCTAAAATTCAGAGAAAATACAATTAATGTTCTTCCAAAGCCGTCTGCTGAAAGAAATTTGAAGGACGTTCTCTGCTGCCAGTCTATGCTCCACCTTTATACATGTTTTTGTTCATCGAAACGTCAGAGACAAGATTCCGCTATCGGCAACTTTAGTATATATTTACCAATTCACTTGCTCCTGTGCATAAGCCATACCGGAAAAAATTTGCTTCTAGAGTACATTATCGCTTCTGGACGTGCAGCATCAACACATACTTCATTGGCATTCATACATAAATAAGATGAAGGCGGTCAAAAGGATTTCTCTTACATCTTCTTCATATATCCGAAGTTTTTACTATCCATAAGGAGAAACCTAAACCGTAAAAAATCAGAGACGTGTACTACTGTAACAAAAGAAGACAAGGGCCGGCAACAGATCGTTTTTGTTACGGGAATCAACACGTATTTATATATATTTCCTGTACATTATTATAGCTTATTCAAGTAGACAAACGCAGTCTTCTGATTGGTTGTTTCGGGTAACCTCGGAAAATGGAGCCATCTATCTGCGAATTATATTTGCCCGCGTCAAGTCTGCTGTGATTGGTTGTTGAATCAGCCTTGTTCATATTTTCTCACGGCCAATATTAGTGACCTAGACATTGACGTAGATTGATGTCTACCAATTGGCTAGCAGCCTGCTCTCACCACACTACCACAATGTTAGTGCCAATTTTATTTATTTCCAGTAACTGAATTTATCAGTATCGTGATGAGTGTCTTCAAGTTATTTAAACGAAATAGAGGTCTGAGAGTTTATTAGACTTTTACATCTCTTGAGCATCAAAATTATGCTTTGTCATGCATATGAAAATAGAACACGAGATCTCAGTTATTTTCTGTTGGCCTATTTTAAATTTCCACTCTCATAACTTTGAACTAATATACTTACCTATGGACTTTAATATAACACTTTTATATAGATAAGTTAATTATGTAAGACGCAATATCTGTTTCCATGACTACATATCTGATTAATATCCCTATGGCTCACCGTCTAAAGTCTAATTTGTGTACAAAGTGAGTTTATCAACAAAATTTCAAACTTCGACTTCAGTTGACTGTAATTCGTATCTCAGATGAAACATAATTTTCCAGGAAATCATAGAAAGGCCTTCTTGGTCAGTACTAACAATCACGAAACCTAGGTCCATAGATTGATTACGTTCTACAAATGTGTAAAATAATGAAGGTTTTCAAGTAGTGTTACCTAGTAACCAGAAGGTACTGGTTTCAACCCTCAATGGGTGATTACTGCTGAAGAGTCCCGGATGTCCAGTACTCCCAGGTTTTTTAATGATTCTCTAACCACTGTCAGCTCATGATGAAATCCTGTAACCAAATAATGAAGGTATTTAGATTTTATGTGAATGTGTTTCATTGTTTATCTTTAAACTTCTACTTATCATTGAATTTTCGTTTAATTTTACGTTGTATTCACTTCATGTTTTTTTACAGAACAATGTGATCTCCAATTCCATAAATCACTTTCCATCCCCTAAAAACCAAACCTCCTCCAGTAAACCCGTTTCATCATCCAATGTAAGTAACTGGTTTCCACCACCCCCACCCCCACCACTTCAAGACTCCATGATTGTTCCTGAGAATTTGGATAGCAAAGCACCACATTATCATGAACATTGTCGTCCAGATGAAGTCCACTCATCACTAATAAACACCGGGACTAATAAACCTTTAAGTAATACAACCAATCTGGAAACAATGAAAGTTGCTATTCCTGAACTTAACCCTTTAACACAAATTAATACATCAATCCCATCAAGCAACTTCAGGTTACCTCCATCTCCACCAACACCGCCTTTACCTCCGCCGTCTACTCCACCTGGTCCACCATCAGTTCCACCACGACATCCAGCTACCACACTACAACATAAAACATCACAAAATAACTCTTCAGAAGTAAGTAAATATTAAAGTACTAGACTAGTATTTTCAAATTTTCGCCATTTTCTATTTATATTGACAACTTGAATATATTGACCAGTTAAAATTTCTAAAAATAGACAGACTGATAAAAGATGACTAATTACCTTTGGTGACGACAGACATTTCAATAATATTATAACCTTCAAAAATCATTTTACAAAATGACAACAAAACAGTAAATTTACGTGTATTGTATGAATGTTTCAAGGAAGGTAATCTTTAGATGTTAAATAAAGGAAAGTGAACAGAACATTAATATGATAAAAACACACTTCAAGTTTTGTCTGGTGTCTATTAGAGAAAAACAGTACATCGTGCATTAATATAAGCTGTCTATAACAATCACAGCAAAACGTTTTCTTACACTAAAATGTAACTTAGCTTGTAATGAATTTAATTGGTGGATGATGATTACCAGTGGAATCCAGGATGCGGATTTCGTCCTATTTGGGACTCGTCCTCCAGCTGGATATGCCTGCATTCCTCAGTGAGTAACGATGTTCCCAGTGAGGCTTTTAATGGTTAAAGCAGTTGTATTTGGCTAATATAATTTCTTCTAGTTCATTTGATTAGCCTACACTCAGCAGTCAGAACACTTTAAGTACTCTTTTTTGAACACCTATCAGAATACCCCAAACGAAGTTGATTTAAAACGAGTAAAGATAAGTCATGGTTTGGTGTTTATAAAGTTTAGCTGTGAATAATGAAGACTGACCATTTATAATGTAATTCATTGCCTTCATATTGAAGGGTCTTAGATTCAAACTATACTGTTTATACTTCAATCTAGGCATCTGAGTAATATCACACCCACCCACACACACTTATTTCAGCTCACAGTCTAGTTGGATACATAAGTTGCATTATTTATGATTATCACGACAAGACTCCATGAATATTGTCTCCATCAATAGCCAATATTGCAGAACCAAGACTGAAGCGGTTAAAAAAGAAATAAAAAAGTGAGTGGAATTCATTTCCAACATTTGAGTACAACAGTATAACATTGCACTCGATCTATTATTGACAAGGATAATGAGGTTTCCATTCAAAGATTGGTCACTAGGGTGTAACCAGTGTCAGTGTGATCACAAAGCTAGATGATTCACCGTCGTGGGCCACTCTGAATTGATGCTATGGGGTTGAGAAAATTGGCAGGAAGCCCGAAACCTAGGTTTCGAGGTTGTTGGCACCGGTTAGCAAGGTGTATCCATAATCTTAAAGGAACTGATATCCCCTTTGAGGCTCAATACCACATGACTCAGTGCTGCAGTCAAAGACGTTGCCACTTATTTGGGTTCACTTTTGACCTCCTGCAGGACTGCGACAGTTACATTGACTGACAATTTGGAAGTTATGTGTATCCGACTTCAGCAGTGGGCGTGTTCGAATCTCAGAGGAGACTGTAGCAACCAAAAGTGACGTAATGTGGTCTACTGTTTAGCTAACCAGAACTTTCCTGAGGTACGCACAGTCCTAAAATGTTCCGACTACAGCAAAAGGATGGTTATTTGCATTAAAATATGCGGTACTCTTTAGCAATAATAACATATTAAAACTCAGAAATGCCGTTAAGTGTCTTTATAGACCAGAAAATTTTTCAGTACGAAACAAGTACTTTGGAATTAAATTAGTTAACCAAAAATCAACGACAAGACGTACCTGGGAATCAAGCAGAATGTTTCCAATAAACTGGGTTCGAAACCCTGTTGGTGAGAATCACACACCAAATACTTCCTTCAGGCTGTTCAAGGTCAAAACTTCCGAGGAAAACCTTGACTTTATTCAAATAAAATAACGACCATAAAGCAGCACACTATCGACACTATTACAAAACCTCAAAGAAAAGCATCTAAATTAGACATTAAATAAGACAATGATACATAATGATTAAGTCAACAGGTGATATACCGCCTAGGAGAAAAGAGGACAGTAACTACAAAGTTTAAATATTCAAATAAGTATCAATTTTATAAATACGTTGTTGTGGATGGATTTTCCGAACAATTCCGTTAAGAAAACATCAGTTCCTTCGAGGTTGTTGACGAGTGCTAACAAACGCCAAACTAAAGTCCAGGACCCCCTGCCGATTACCTATAACCATCTAGCCAGGTTTTCATCCATTTACACCGGTAATTTTACGATATCCCTTCATTCCGTTTTACGATATGATGGATTCTTGTTTCATTTAGGCAAGGTTTCAAAGATAATGACAACGTCAGGGTTATCCTCTGCACTAACCAATCAAGGATATCCACGCCTCATGTGATTGGGTAAGTAAAAACAAGTAGCCTTAGTTGTTACCAACGCCACTGAAACCATTTCTATCTGTACCTTACTATCACTGTACTATTTTGATGATATTGTAAAATCAATGATCATCGTGTTCCACATAAATTTTGTAATAAATAATCTTCAGCCTAATCATCCTTAAGAAGAAAATCACAAGAACTTTTGATATATATCAACTTCACATTTGTTTTTATTGTGAATTATTCAGCGTGTTAGACATTCTCACGTTGTGTCCAACTTTATTTGAGACAAAAATAATAAATTCATTATCTGTTGACAACTCATGTTCGTGAATCAGAAATGTAGAAAACTCTTTTTCATTAGTAAATCAAGCTATAGCACTAGTTCAAAAAGCAATAAAAATCTTAATTTTCAGAAGAATGGTTATTGAACGAAGAATACTCTTTTCGATAACTTCTTCTTCATCAGGCTCTACATTTATGAATATATTATAGTGAATGAATGAACTAGTGTTATTAACAACATTAATGTTGTTTAAATAACATCGAATCAATAATAATATCAATGGATTACAGTACAACAGCATCAATATAAGCACCATACACTGAATACAGTGTGGAATCAAGCTGTAAATCAAATATCAAAAAATCAAAATCAATGAATATTAGAGAAGTTAGGAAAGATAATGATGCAAATTCATGAATTCACAGTGTCCACTGAAGGCTGACCAGGTCAGCAGTAATAGCTGACTGCGCTTGCTTCTTTTCAACACAAAGCACTAGTTGTTTAAGGCGAATCGCGATAGCCTCTGCTGTTTGAAGTATGTGATACCTCTGATGCTTTTGGTAATTAATTTGGTACCTGGTAGATGGTAGAGAGGGATTCTTCAATGTTGGCTGACTTTATGGTCGGTTTGGACCAGATGGTCCTTCTCTATCATTTACCGGGTGCCAAATAAATTGCCAAAAATATCGAGGTACCGCATGCTTCAAAAGGCAGAGACTATCACAATTTGCCTAAAACAGCCAGTGCTTTGTGTGCAAAAGAAGCAAGTCCAGTTAGCTAATTACTACTGACCTGGCCGGCCATCATTGGACACTATAAATTCATGAACTTGTATCGTTATCTTTCCTAACTTCTGTAATATTTATTCAGTGTATGGTGGTTATGTTAATACTGTTGAACTGTAATCCATTGGTATTAATATTATTATTGATTCAATGTTATTTAAACAACATTAGTGTTGTTAATAACACTAATTCATTCACTATTATGTATATGTAACTGTATAAGCTGATGAAGAAGACCTTATCAGAAAGAGTATTCTTTGTTCAGTGACCATTCTTTTGAAAATTTTAATGGATATTTTTAATGAGTTAAAAGTCCTAATATTTCTTCCACTACCAATCAGAAATACTATCTCCACTGCTTCATTACAAATCATGCACTGGCTAAACTCAGTCAACTTGAGTGTCCATCGCATCAGTAAGCTTGTTGTTCATCGTTATGTTGTGAAATAGCTCAACATACTTTGTCTAGAAGAAGAGACAATTACACCGGTGAACATCCTGTCATTAAAATGTATACTTACTTCACAGGGATAAAAATAAAGCCTTGCATTAATGCTTTCCTGCTTTTGATGCTTAATTTTCTTAAGTACTCTATTCCCACTCACCTCCCACCCCACCAAACCTGCAGTGCAATTCAATGTGCTGAATGGTAGTGAACACTGAAGGTAGTCTCCATCAGACGCTACTAAATTTTTTTCAATATAGATGCTATTATATTATTAATGGATTATACTAAATCGACGTATTATTATAATACTGGCTTAGATAGCTAGCTAGCTAGCTAGCTAGATAGTAGGCGAAGTGACGAATAGTCAACTACACAATGATTCATGTTTGTTTACTAAAAAAATATCCTCTTAGAGAAGAGAAAAACAAACAAACAGCCTAACAAACAATTGCTGCTAGTCATATTGCACACATATTAAGCCAAGTAAACAACCAAAAACGACAATTAAGACACATTGATAGTAAAATAAATAAAGACAGCTTCCTCGAGGAGGACGAGGAGGAGAAGAACAAGAGGAAGAGGGAAAAAAAGTCAACAATCCCATGTTAATTAAAAGCAAAAGAAGAAATCAATTTTTCACTAATAAAAAAAAATTGATTCATTGATTTACTTCTCTTTTTTTCTTTTTTCCTTTCCTGTCAACAAATATCTTTTAAAGACAAGTAATTTATATCTTTCCTTATTGAATTCAATAAAAAAAAAGAGAAAAACAATAGAAGAACTTCCTCCCTTCTTTTTTAACAAACAAAATCAAGCAATGTGTATATAGGTGGGGTTAGCTCTGAACAGTGTGACAAGAAAATTAGATAGGTAGGAAGGGGATTCATTTTTCTCCTAAACGGTCTAAGCAGTGTGAATCATATCTAGGTGGACTGAGAATGAGTATGCTACTCGGAATACACAGCATTTTTATAAATGGAACACAGTGTATGCTTCTTACTCTCCACCCATTTAAATAAGATATTTTCTGGTGACCAGAAGGTATTATCAGACAGATAACCAGTATATGAGCAGAGTCAGTTTTCCGTGGCTAGTGTCACAGTGCTTTGAATAAGGTAGGTATTATTATTAGTATTGTTATATCCTTTAATTCCTAGAGGAACATAGGGCTTCAGCTGCGCGTCTTCATTTCCTTCTGTTTTCTGCCAACTTTTTCATCCCGCTCCAAGTCTGCTCACATGCTTTCATCTCCTCTTCACATGACCTCCTCCAAGTCACCCCATCCTCGCACTGACGACCAACTCGCCGCTTCCCTTTCGGGTTTCACTCGAACGATAGCTTGTCTAGTAATGTCACTTGATGGTTTCCTCAAAGTATGACTAGCCGATCCACCTCGATTTCTTCCTGCCTATTTGTTTCACAATTGGTTCCTGGTTGGTTCAGTCATTGCCAGAGATCCCTGCTGCTGATCTTTTCTGGCTGACCATCTGATCTTGAGTAGTATTGAGCGAAGACAGCTGTTGATGAAGGTCTGTAGTTTGTTTGAGGTGCTGTTTATGACGCGCTGGCCAAGTCTCTGATCAGTATAGTAAGTAGCACTGACTGACTTCACATTGGAGTTGAAAATCCGGATGTTATTTTCATTTTCATGCTGAGTGCTGTTGATCTCCACACAGACTTGAGAGCAATGAAAGGTAGTCTTGCTTTCTTGATCCTTGTTGCTTTGATATCCTCATCAGTTCCGCCTGTAGTTGAAACGATGCTTCCCAGGTAGGTAGGTAAAGGAGGCTGTTTCTTTCAGGTTCCTTCCTTTTATGCTGAATAACATAGGTAACTGATGGGAATATGAGTTGCAGTAGTACAAAAGTCACAAGTCACGGAATTACTTGCCTAACATGATTATATTCTCTGTCGCAATACCAATGTAAGGACATTTTAGATAGTTTTATTAATAACATGAAAAATGTTACCCATTTAGAGATGAATATATCAATAACTAGTTTCAGCTATTATCAACATTTTTGAAGAAGTAATTATTAAATTAAACCTTGAACACTACTTAGCAGTGCCATCTAGATTTCTATCTAAAGTTTACAGTCTTGTTGGTATTAGATGGTTGGAGGCAATCGGAAGGAAGCCTTGGCCGCAACTTAGTTTGATTCTTGTTGGCACTCTTCAGTCAGCAAAGCGTATCTGCAACCTCAAAGGAACTACTCATGTCCTTTCTGAGATTCGAACTCGCATCACCTATTGAGTACTGAAGTCAGAGACGTTACCACTGAGCTATTCGGGCTGGTTCGTGATTAACCTCCTGTAGGACTGTATTGCATATTTTTGATTGAACACTAATCAGTAACTTGTGTAATGTGTATTTTTAGTCCGATCTTTCGTGCAGACTGAAATCTATCAGTCACGTTTGCAATGTGGCCAAAGATAGGACTAGATATACACATTACACTATTTACTGACTAGTGTCCAATCAAAGTGTTACAGTCTGTCAGATGGACTTTATCTAACTCTGGGCTCTTAGTAGCAACAAATATCTGAGCTGTCAAATATTTATTGTAAACTACATACTTTTGAAATTATCTAATGGAATGATAGAAGTTTTCAACTTTATGATTTCATTTTTTATTTTATTTTAAATACATATTTCTGTGGCACAACGGTAGAATGATGGTCAATCACGCCACGCGTTGTTCGGGGTTCGATCCCCAGCCGATGCACTCTTTTACCTCACTAAGACTGGTGAAGAGGGAAGGTTAGGCATGAGGCTAGTAACTCCATCCCGTAAAAATAAATACACCACTTCCGAAACTTTGAGCTTGAAGCCCTATGTTCTACTGGGAACCTAAAGGAAAAAAGTTTTTAATCTATAGTGAATTATCTGATACTAAATACTCATTCTGGTGGGACACATTCTCGTATAGTAATCAATGTGACTGTTTGTAAGCACTTATAGATAAAGTATAAAATGTAGTCACTGAGCTAAGCAGTATGGTGGTAGTACTGTGCACCGTAGTTAACAAAGTGTCATCTAAGATATTACGATTCAATCGGCATGATCTGAGATTCATGAATGCTTGCATTCGTTGAGAAGACTTATTCTCAACTTTGTGGAAAATCATATTTCTTTGAGATTGAAGTTTACGAGGCTCATTTCCAAAGTTAGAGGCTTTTTGAACTACAGTAATTGATACAAATTTCAATCTGAGAGGAAAAATGAGTCTTCCCAAAGTTTAAGAGATGGCCTTCTCAGTTGTGCCAGGCAGTATTAAAACTGCATCACACATGGTTTTCTGTCTACATTGATTTTTGATGTTTTATTCCTTTTTACTTACACTAAAACAGTCACACAAACTCTGCGGGTCCCTATTTTTTATTCCTTTACGTTCCTAGCGGAACATAGAGCTTCGAGCTAGAGTTATGAAGTTTCTGTAGCGGTGGTGATTATTTTAACAGGATGGAGTTGTTAGCCTCATGCCCAACCTTCCCTTTTTATCAGTCTTATTACTAGCTTGGTAAGGTGAAGGAGTGCATCGACCGGGGATCAAACCCAGAACCGTTGTGCCACCGACGCACATTGTGGGTCCCTGTGACTGATATTATATTTTATTACCCCCACTCATTTTATATGGCTGTTAATGCACTTATATTAATATAGCCCTATTAAGTTGCCTTTTGAGGAAGTTTATTCGCCTTTGGAAACTTCTGTTTTTGAAAATACATGAATAAGGTTAATAAACACACATGAGGAGGAACTACTGTGGATATAACTAAATTTTCTAAATGGTGGATCGTATTCATTCCTGATGAAACATCTTGTCGTTTGTCTTAACGAAAGTACTAGTTGATTAAATCACTTATTGGTGTAAGGTCAGTAGATAATCTAAGATATATCGTAAATGTTCATTCACCATGCAATGAAATAATATCCCGTTAACAATTGAATGTGTTAAATCATGCCGAGTACTTACTTTAGTGATCACTTTAGTAATGACCATGTTTCTTTTAATTTATTGCATGAAACCTAAAGGTAGAATACATGACTGTTGAATTAATTAAATTATTAAATAATTTACAAGGGTTTATGTTTTTTAATGGGGTAAGCTAAAAGAATGATCATGACAAAGATAGTCAATAGAGACGAATCCAACTTATCCTGCTTTATTTAAAAGATACACCTTTCAAACAAAATTAAAATTAGAAATGGAATGCTTTTGTTAGCATATCAATTTTCTGTTGTTCAATATCCAGAAGTTCTGCATTATGTAAACACCACCAGTTCTAACTTTCACTGTTTTTATGATGTAGTTATTTCCATAAATAACCACTGTAGTTCTTTTAATAATCTTACTTAAGATATTAAGTAACTGATGAATTGATGTTAATATGAAGTTAGTTTGAAAAGAGGAAGACTGTGGTCAATCGTATAGCCGGTTGGAAATGATGACAGAGAATCGAATGTAGTGTAGGTGTATCTCTGAAACCTTATGTTTGTGATAGTAGAAAGTAGGAGATAATTACTCAGAAGTTTCTTCAAAAGTAAGAATAAAAGTTCTAAATTACGCAATACTCAGCTTCGGTGGCACAGCGGTAGAGTGCTCACCGACCATGGATGTGGTCTGGGGTTCGATCCCCAAATGACTGACACACTCCTTCACCTTGCTAAGACAGTAATAAGACTGGTAAAGAGGAAAGGTTGGGCATGAAACTAGCAACCCCATCCTGTTAAAACAATCACCACTGCTACAGAAACTTCAAGCCTGTAGCTTGAAGTCTCATGTTCCACTAGGAACTTAAAGAAATAAGAAAAGCGCAATTCTCAACTTCACAAAGCGAGAAAGCGTTAGAAATTCGATAAGGCTAAAATTGATTTTGAGTGAGAAGAAAGGTAGGTAGTTGACTGTCCATTTAACAAATGCGAAGAGGATGAGAAAATGTACCAAAGGAACATATGAGAGTGATAGCAGTGAATTAATTATTAAATTAAAAGCAAATTACTCATTAAAATTAAAAAACAAAAATTTACAGAGAACGACTAACGAAGAGGTTAAAATCATGTTAGAATAGGGGACTGGACAAACTTTTTCTGTTTACTGAGTTCAGGGTTGTATTAACCAACTGACAACGCCTCCACCATACGTGAATGCCGAAACCTAACGCCCTTCGTACCAGTCTTGTCCCAGTTTGTCCAGTCTCCTATTCTAACATGATCTTAACCTCTTCGTTAGTCGTTCTCCGTAAATTTTTTTTTTAATTTAATGATTACTTTGCTTTTAATTTAATAATTAATTCACTGTTATCACTCTCACATGTTCCTTTTGTACATTTTCTCACCCTCTTCGCATTTGTTAAATGGACACTCAACTACCTTTCTTCTCACTGCATATCAATTTTAACCTTGTCAAATTATTTCTAACGCTTTCTCGCTTTGTGCCGTTGAGTATTGTGTAATTTAGAACTTTTATTCTTACTCGGAAAGTTTTGAGAATTGGTAATGGACCTTTTGCTAAGGAAAAACACATCATATTCATACAATTTTGGCTACATTTAAATTTGGCTAAGTCAAACGAGAATAAATTGTTCTGATTGGTTGGCAACGAAGGTTGAACAATACAACGAAAATTTGTCCAATGAGATTATTTCATGTCCACAACGTAGCTAGGTCCAGATTTGAGGAATAAATATTTCTATCTAACCATTGACTTAAAATGTTAATTTCAATTTTGACCTCTTCCTATGAATCTACACTTGTAAATTTTGTCCATAGCATAGGCCATATGTTCCCCTCAAAGCGTTAGGAAAGAATACTAAACAATAATATGCACATATAAACTCCTGCAGATCTGCCAATGGTATCCAAGTGGAAGTGTGATTACTTCTTCACTCAATTCATTATTTGGTACACTGTAAATGAAATTCAGTAGTAGCCTGGCTCGAGTCCGTGAAATATGTGTCTTGATTAATTTTATTCTAAAACAAAAACTGATACAAATCTCCACTTCATAGTATTTGTATTTGAAAATATAAAGAATTCCATTTTCTCTTATTGCAGGTCATTTCTGAGCAAGTTCAAAAGCCTATTACCAGTGAAAATTTAAACATTACGAAGTCAAATGATACTGTTAGTACGTCATCAGTTTCTCCCATATTGCCTTTGTCTCAAACTGCTGGAAAAATCAACATTCCAAATGCTCCAAATCAGTTAGATCAAACTGCAGATTCATCTGTCATACAAGTTAAAGATAATAAGTCAGATTCATCTAAACTTCATTCAAAAACTCATTCTGTACCGTCAGAAATAAAAGTACCAACCACCACATTGTGCACAAAGATTGATGAAAACAACAGAAATTTAATAAAATATCCACCAGATGGTAGATCTGTTGTCCCATGGGATTTTAACCAAGAAGATACACCACCAGTCACATCATCTTCATCTACACCAATGAAATCTTGTCAAACAGATGAAATGAAAATGACTGAATCATTGGCTAAATCACAACCCTCAACGATAAGTTCATCTTTGTCATTCCCTGATAGAAATGTGATTTGGGCGAATTCCCAGCTACCAATCTCCTCCCATCATCCGTCAGAAAAGTTCAACTCTCAGAATTTCGATTCAATAGATTCTGTCAAAGGAACACAACAATCAAAGAAATCTACTGCCATTATTCAAGAACAAAATGCTAAAGCGATTAGACCAAATTGTTTATCACAATTTATGGTGACAAAGCCAGCAGGAATTGGTCATTCATCATCTAAACGTCTCTTATCTCCTGATGACTTAAAAAGTCAACATCGTATTCGAAAACACCTTAGTGTTGTTACCAATGCTACAGATTTAAATCATTCAGTGTTATTAGAAAGTGATAAAAATGGGGAATTTGTTCACCTTGCCTATCCAATAAATGATCCAACAGTTTTTAGTCATCATCATCATCATAATAAAGAACTCCTCATCAATAGTCATTCAGATATGCAACATTTAAATCATCCAGTAGCTGATGCATCTTGGTTAAAAGCCCAACAAAGAGCTGAATTGATGAATACAAGTAAGTGTGAACCTTTGTGTACAAAAATATATATATTCTTTTGAATTGTTAAATTTATTGACCACTTGTTAGCTAAGTATTATTTTCAGTAGGATAAGAACAACCGGAGCCGATTATTCTATTGTCAAGAGAAGTGAATTATGTTTATAAACTAAACGTATAAGCAAGCAAAGAGTGGTCTTTTTAACTAGATCTCCGAAAGTGGGTTTATTGATAAATCTTCGTATGTGTAAAACTTGAGCACTACCACAGCACCCAAGTTTTACACAGATCTCTTCAAGCTCTACTCCAATATGCGTAACTTTACATACAGATATTAAGTATAAGCCGATCATAATGAATTATTATTGGGATTAATATCAGTAAAAAGTTTGAGCGCTATGGATTAGATCAAATAAAGTATAATTATATTTTAATAGTTTACACACAATGATAAGTTTTGTTATTGGTAATATTTCGAGCAAAATTACCAATAACAAAACTTATCACTGTGTGTAAGCTATTAAAATATAATTATACTTTATTATTGGGATGATAGGGTGGCCATAAAGGTTGTGCAATGTTTTATAATATTAATAGCAAAGGTAATAATAATAATGGTGAACAATTGGAAGATGTGTAGTGATAACAATGTTGAAAACAAGGTCCTTATTTAAGCCAATGCCCAAACAGATATAGTGGACCACAGACTAGAAAAATTAATAATAAGAACTTGAAATAAATCAAGTTTTATTTATTTATTTAAACGCAGAAAACACTTGGTACAATATGGCACCAAGAAAGATGCGCCACACAATAATAATAAAACAACATAGATTACAAGTAAAAATATAAGTAGAGAACAGATAAAGAACTTCATCTGGAAGGAAAACAGTCATACTTAACAAGTTCAAACAGTAGTCGTTAACTATCATCGGGAAGGGAAGAAAGAAGGAAATTGCAACACATTCGCCATTGATTACGATTCTTGGCCATATCTGATAACGTTTCGAGCCATCGATTTGAGCTATCTCTCGGACCCCAACCAGGGAGTCGTGACACACCAGCCGATGCTAATCTAGCACAAAAATCCTTCATCCCACGACGCCACGTCATGGACTGACCACCCCTCCGCCTTTTCCATCCCGTCCTAGGGCTAGCGAACAGAGACCTGTACGGAAGCCTCTGGGATGACATTCGCAGCACATGTCCAAATCAAATCCCTACAAACTAACTCTGATGCTTGCTAGTGACTGGTGACAGGTCTTAGTTTCCTGGAATTCTGATAGGAAAGCGTGACCAGTGGGGTCCAATAGCTCGATCGTAAGGACGAATACCCAGTGGTGATATTGGGCTGGTGGGGTGCGCTGAAATCACGAATTGGCGAAATTTGGAAATCATGGACCATTCATTGGATTGGATGCCAATGGCTGAATGGTCTGCGAGCTTGCCTTGTAACTGGTAGGTCCAAGGTTCTAACCTCGGCGAATGCATGCCTCTGAGAAGTCACAATCTTGCGGCACAAAAGCTGTCCACTACTCCCGGTTTTCCAATGATTCTCTAACCGATATCAACTCGTGATCATACTTGAAATAAAGTTGTAATAAAGTTGATTTGTAAGATTGTATTTTTTACGAGTTGATCATGGATTGATATCAGTTAGAGAACCATTGAAAACAAGCAGGGAGTACTGGAAAACCAACTGTTTCGTCCTAGTTTGGGAATCATCGCCAGTACGCACCCACTCCATGGGGTTCGAACCCAGGACCTTCCGGTTACAAGGCTAGCAAGCTCGTATACCATTCAGTCAATGGGACCCGATTCAATGGCTCATGAATTCTAATTTCTACTAATTCGTGATTTAGTGTGACCACCAACCAGTATCATCGGTGGGACATCGGTCCTTACACTTGACTGGTTGGACCTCACTGGTCATGACTTCTTACTAGAACTCCAGGAAACTACATACTGTAGCAAGTCACTAGTGAGCAACAGATTAATTTCCTATGGTTTGGTTTGTAAGGGTCGTGACCAGTGAGGTCCATTCGGATGTCACGTGTGAGGATGGATGTCCCACCGACGACAATGGTTGGGGTCGAGATAAATCATGAATTAGTAGAAGTTAGAATTCATGAGCCATTGAATCGGGTCCCATTGGCTGAATGGGCTTGCTAGCCTTGTAACCGGAAGGTCCTGGGTTCGAACCCCATGGAGTCGGTGCGTACTGGCGATAATTCTCAAACTAGGATGAAACAGCTGTCCAGTAGTCCCTGGTTTTCAATGGTTCTCTGACTGATATCAATCCGTGATCAACTCGTAAAAAGTTGTTTATTGCTGAACAGTAAAGGAATTAGATCAGCAAAGTTTGAATGAAGATGTTATCATACCATGAAATTGATGACCAAAAGTAGTAGGAAGGCGATTAAAAATATATACAAAGGTGGGGGGGGCGGAGTATAATTAGTTGGAATATAGTTTAAGATAATTTGTTCAAATGCTTATGCCATCGCTTATGTACACATTAAAGGAATACAAAGATTACTAGAAATATCAGAAGGGACGTGATAAATCATTCTGTTAACTAAACAGCATCAAACTGATAAAACAAAATGGAGCTTCGGTTTCATCTTTCTTGTTGTTTTATCCAGCCAAGATTGAAAGTGTCTTGCAAAATTGTTGGCTAAGCTCTCCACTTATACGTCGAATACAAGTGATTTCACATAAGTAGTTGAAGTGGTAAGCACATCTGGCTGAGGAGAAACCAACTAGCCTATTCTTTGGTTGAGTCATCACCATTGTCTGACTGCAAGATGACAGATAAGCATTCGTCACATAAGATGTCATCCTAATCGTTCACGGTAGTTTCTGAAACACAGTTTCACGTGATACCTCACCATTACGTTATAACTTAATAAATAGTGACTTCTTCCACACAGACAATGTTTCCAGGTTTTTGATTAGTTGAAGGAAACTTTCATACTAAAAGTCTTGTTGATAGTGCAGCGTAAACCAGTCAGAATATTCACTTCGGCAATTAGAATAATTCAGATAATTTGGCATTCTGTTGAATCTATCACAAAGTGTTAGTGATTATATGAATGTCATCCTTTTTGGTATAGGAAATGACTATTGGCTTTCAGTAGGTAAGAAAAAGGGGCTGTTAATGGAATCATGGGATATATTTGTAGTTCACATTTTAGAAGTTTACATTGTTAAACCTAGCCCAGCATGACAAAGAAACGTAATTATCAAGTCATTCACAACATTGTTAGTTAATGCAGAAGATTTAGATGTTAAATATCCGGATGATTTAAGTTTAACACGGCCTAAATGTTAGATTAACCCTGATACACATATTATTAATATAGGTATAAAACTTGGACACTTTGGTAGAGTATAACTCCATTATGGATAAGATTTTATTTTGATAAATCACACAGTGTTATACAGTAATATTAACTGACGATCACGTTTCGAGCACAAAGTATTGCTCATAATCATATCAAGTTACACAACTTTTTCCTTCATTTATATACATGTGTGGAATCGATTAGATAGGATAAGGTGCATTCAGAAATAATAATATGAGTGTTATTGATCAATTACAATCAGATGGGAAATAAGATGTTTTTTTATGGTAAAAATAAGTAACTTGTTAGAATGTTATGATTTACGCGAATCGAAATAGAATTTTAAGATTATTTATTATCCTCCTCTGATTTCACTGGTGGTAATGATATCTTCCATACCTCTGGTATTTGCATTGAGTCATTTTTGTCGCACGTGTTGGGTGTAGACTCTATGAACCAAAATTCAGTAATCAATTTCTCTCGCTCTCCACCTACCTATATTACTTCATAGAATTTTAACCCCCTCCCAACCTATTGTGTGGTTGTGTGTTAATGCATGCAGTGCAATCGCTGAGCTTTTTTCTGGATTGTTTTTCTTCATGGGGTCAATCATTTATACCTCAGCTAAATTGTTATGTTCTGACAGGCAATCTGACTACTCCTGATCTACTAGTTTGACCTATGTAGTTGACTAAACTCACAGTCGTTATAAAGTATTTTGTAAATTGCATTATTTTGTATAATTGGGTTCACCAGGTCTATTAGCCTACAGAGCTTGTCCTACCTTAGTGAGTTTGTAGGTTTTAATGCCACACATATTCCATAAATGCAGATATATTATTAGGTGTAATTTCTTGTCGAGAAAGTGTACTAGTATGTTAAGTTTGACTAGCGTACGTATTGCAGTTTTGATGAACGATACTAGGTGCTTTGAAAATCTGATTTAGTTACCAAACGATAAATATGGCGCGTATATAGTCGAATTGAATGAAGGACATTCAACAGTTATCTAGTAATCCAAACCTGGAATATCCAACTGTGATACGCTGACCAACGCTATACAAAATATCACGAAACGGCAGTAGTTAGAATTGATGGACCACTGGATTCCAACCGAATGGTTTAATGGTCGATGATCTCGTAATGCTACCTGGTGATTCTGGGTTCAACTCCCAATAGGGGCATATTTGCGTACTGACTAGGAGTCTTAAACCAGGGTCAAACAGCTGCTCACTTCTCCCTGATTTTCAATAGCTCTCAAACTGAAGTTGGTTCATGATCAGACCTGCAATATAAAGTCTCTTGAGTTTTACGCTCCTTATACTCGATTCATATTCCTTAATTTTTCATGACTGCACTCTATCAAGTAACATAAGCCAAAAAATAAACAGGAAGTGTTTCAACTGAAGTATTTTCTTCACCTTTTTTTTCTTACTTAATGGTCTAACTTAGTAGAATAATAGTAAGAATAAAAAAAAAGTAAACTGGCCACCTTTTACTCATTTGTAATACTTTTCTTGCGTCTGATTAGTAGTTAGCTAATAGTTTTAATAAAATAGTTATAGTGCTGAATAACACTTCAGCAACACTCAACATAAGACTTAACTATTCGGTGTGAGATCTGAGATAAATTGAAGGGATATTATTATTCCCTTGCGTTCCGAGTGAAACATGGGGCTTCAACAACACAACTCCACGTTATTCTATTTTCTGTTATCCTCTTCAGCCGGGTCAACGATTGCCCATAATCTCTCATCTCCTCCTCACACAATCTCTTCAATGTTACCCTCTCATCGACGATCCACTTGTCGCTTCCCGTTGAGATTTCAGTCGAACGATGGCCTGCATTGCGCACGATGTCATTTGACAATCTCCTCAGAGTACGCGCGATCCACTCATCTCCATTTTATCCCACATATTTGCTGAGCAATCGGCTCTTGGTTGGTTCCTTCCAAGCCAGAGTTTCTTGTTGCTTATTCAGTTAAAAAAAAGACTACAGAGTACACAGTGAAATGGCGATCTGTTGCTTGAAGCTCTTTGTCCTACCACTAGAAACCAGAAGAATGAATAATCATAATATAATAATTATAGAGCAGGATAAATATTCAACTAACACAATGGTTTGTGTTTTTTCCTTATGGATACTAGTGTAACAACAGAAGACAAGGGCCAGGCAACAGATCGTTTTATTATGAAAATCAACACGTATTTATACATCTTTCAACCACATTATTATAGACAAGCGCAGTCATCTGATTGGTTGTTTAGGTAGACAAACGCAGGCTTCTGATTGGTTGTTTCGGGATTCCTTGACAAACAGAGTTCTCTATCTGCGAATCATATTCTGCCACGTTAACTTTGCTGTGATTGGTTGTTGACTCAGGCTTGTTCATATTTTCTCACGGCCCATATTAGTGACCTAAACCTTAACGTAGATTAGTGCCAACCAATCGGCTAGCAGCCTGCTCTCACCACACTAGTAGATCCAAAAGAAAACTATGTTTTTTCCTTAAAAGACTGTATATGTTCAACACAAACTGTATTTTCAAGTATTGGTTTTGTAGGAACATTTGTTTGATTGGCTGGAGGATTTCATCATGAGCTGACATCAGATAGAAAACCATTGGAAAACCCACCTGAGAGCACTGAACAGCCAGCTGTTTCCGTTGTCCTAGTTTAGGAATAACCCTTCAGCAGTACGCATCCACCACCAGACTTAGAACACAGGACCTACTGGTTACAAAGCCAGTGAGCTAGCTCGTGGACCATTAAGCTACTGGGACTCGATCCAATGGCCAGTTATAACCCATGAATACTAACTTCTGCCAATTCATGACATTGCACGACCACTTCGCAATGCCTTCTTCGATGACTTACTGCCTCACCTTCAACATGCCGCACCTTACTAGTCACGGTTTCACACTAGAACCCCAGGTTAACTGCTTGAATAGGGCCAGTTGCTAGTGTGCGTCAGATCAATTTTCAAGTAACCAGAAGGTCCAAGGTTCGAACCCTTGCGGTAAGTGCATACTGATACACAGTCTCAGACTAGGACGAAACAAATGTCGAGTACTCCCAGACTTTCCAATGGTTCTCTAACTGATTTCAGCTCATGATGAAATCCTCCAACCAATAAACTGTATGTACTGAAATGGGAAAAAAAATGGAGTTTAACTAATACGAGGATGATTAAAAACATGCATATGTCAGTCAAGTTTTAAGGCCAACACAAGACTTTCTTCCCAATATCAGGTAATTGTAGGAAAATGCATTCTACCCCCTCTCTCTGTCTATCTATCTTTCATCCTCTTTAAAATTTGGTAGTTCTTAAAGGTTCTTAAAATCCCTCTTTCAATATACAAGTTACTTTAATTTACTACAAAAATAACAAATACATATATATTATGAAGGGTGGATGGGGGCGGGGGAGGAATGTAACCATTTTTAAATAATAATCTACATACACGAGTAACACATAAAACTTATGTATCTAAGGTTATTTAAAATATTAGTGAACTCGTATACATTATTATTATTGCTATTATTTTCGTTGTTATTTCAGTAGTAAGTGCATAAGTAGACAAAATATATTATTATATACAACTTGTACAAATATTGTATACATTCTCCAATCTAAACTATTTAATGTATATTACCAAAATGACAATAATGTTGTGTGTTTTTTTCTTAACTTGGGATTTCATTTAAAAGAGTCGACCAACTATTAGTTTTAATGGAATTGATGAAAGTATTCATTGGTTTCAATACTTCTTTGAAGTTTTATAATAATTAAAATTCAATGCACTCGCACAGGTGAATGCATACATACTAGAATAAAGTAACAATTTATTGTTTTCGTAAGTATTTTAACATGCGAAGATCCGAGATTCGGACGATTTGATGATAGAAAGATAGATAGATGGATAGAGACTGAAAAACAAGTAAACAGATGGTGAAATTTACTTGTATTTCAAAAAAGGGAGTAAGTTTCTGCCAAATAAAGCCGATAACAACATTGTGTTGTTGCTTTTTTCGTACTTTATAGGAAATCAACACACTACTAGTAAGTCGGTAGAGAGAATTTTAAATTTTTTAAGCTTTTTATGGAGTCCTTTGTTATTTTGAGTATTGTGCTATTATTAGCCAGTAATTCAGAAAGAGTGAGCATTCAACCGTTGAATTTATTTACAGGGATTCAGTTGGTCTCAGTACTATCCAACTCTTTTTAGTTTAGTTCAAACTTATTTACCATCTACTACAAAGTAGATGTTTATACTACATAACTTTTACTAGAAAGTGCTATATCAATGCATCACTTTCATTTTTGGTGTCTCCATCTCATGGGATTAACGCTGCGACTGGATGAAAGCCATTTTTTGATTGTTTTGAAATATCTAATGGCCACTTTATGTAATACTTTAGGTGAATATAGCGAAAACAGAGGTGATGAAGATTCCTGTCCAACAGCAACAACAACACACAACAATCAACCAGCATAAATTGGAGAATTCTGAAAGAAGCAACCTCCTTTACCTACTTACCTACCTACCTACCTACGTGGGAACCATCGTCTCCACTACTGGTGGAACTGATGATGAGTATATCAAAGCGAGTATCTGGAAAGCAAGGCTACCTTTCATTACTCTCAAGTCTGTGTGGAGATCAACAGCACTCAGCATGAAAATGAAAATAAGATCCGGATTTTCAACTCCAATGTGAAGTCAGTGCTACTATACTTATCAGAGACTTAGTGCTATTTCACGAAAGGCACTTCGAACAAACTACAGATCTTCTCCAACAGCTGTCTTCACTCAATACTACTCGAGATCAGATGTCTGGTCAGAAAACATCAGCAACGGGGATTTCTGGCCATGAACGAACCAACCCAGAAGGATCCAACCGTGCAACAAATATGCAGGAAGAAATGGAGGTAGGTGGATTGGCCATACTCTGAGAAAACAAATCATCAAGTGAGTGACATCATCACACACCAGGCCATCGCTCAAGTGCAACCTGGATGGGGAGCGGCGAGTTAGTCGTCAGTAAGAGGGTGTCATGTAGGAGGTGACGTGAAGAGGAGATGAAAGCAGATGGGTAGACGTGGAGCCAGATCAAAACGTTGGTGGAGAACCGAACGCAATGGAGATGTGTAGCTGAAGCCCTATGTTCCTTTAGGGACTAAACGAAACAATAAAAATAAAACATACTAAGCAACAATTCCGCTTTAATTCAGTAGTGTAACATTTCATAACTGAGAAAAAACTGAATTATGGGCTTTATAGCTGAGAGTCTCAAATTCGACGAACCAGTTAACTCGTTAAAAAAACGGCTTTTAAAAGTAATTTTTATTGACTATTGACGTTGATTTGTGGATCATCAAACACAAAGAAGGATCGGATAATTAATTCGTTCCAGTTTGCATTCACAACTATGCGTGTGGGATGAAACCGAGAAATTTAATGCCTCTAGTTGAGTACAATTTCACACAACCATTGGATAGGAATATAATGGCTAATATTCTTCAACCTGAACTGATTCACTATTTCAAGACTGGTCGCTAACTGACTTCAGTTAAGGAACTGTTGAAAACTAGGGAGTATTGTGCATTTGTTTCTTCCACGTATGGTACTCTTCATCAGTACTCCACCAGGGATCGAATCCAGGACCTTTAGGCTACAAAGCGAGCTTGTTTCACCACTCAGCTACTGTGAAAGAATCTAATGACCTGTCAACTCTGACTTCTGCCAATTCGTGATTCATTATTAAGTGTCATCAGGGAATAACTGTCTTCACAGGCTGTCATCTATTCTTACGACTATATTCAAATGGAGTTGAATCACCGTTTTAAATTGAACTGTTAAGTTGCATCAATAAGACTGACCATTAAAGTTTGTGAACAAACCTAGATACCTGAGGTTCATGATCTTGAGAAAGTCAAGTAAATTTATATTTCTCATTTGAAATTATTTGAAAATTTTATTCTTCATACGGCTTAATTAAAAGATTTTCCTGTAAAGTTTTATAAAAATTCTGAGTTTCCCTTAAAAGATGATAAATAGGAGCAACACAATAGCGTCTCAGAGCATTTCACATAATCTCATAATCTCACTGTGAAAACAAAGGGAAATAGTTTTGAAAGACAAAAGGTTCCATTCCCTTTCAGATCATTGATAGCTTTATGAATAAATGTTGCATGAAAGCTATTGTGTATTGATTTTTTCATTTGTTTTTTCTTTCATAACCAGGTAAATCACGAAATGCAGTTCGCCGTTCAGGTCGTGATTTTTCTCAGCGTCAATTCAGTGCAGAACCTGTATTTGTAAATAAGGTAACAGGTGTTATGCATTTATCCCCGTCAATAACACACAAAGAGCAAACACAATATGTCACTTCTAGAATCCCGTCTACTACTAACATGCATAATAGTAATAATAATAGCAATAATATACTTCTAATGACACAATCAAGTTTGCCGTCTGGATTTCCTGAACAACAACCAGATTTTTTTATACACTATAGACATAAATCAGACAATCCTATTCATACAAATTCTCATTTTATCACTGGTGATTCTACGCACCAACAATACTGTCGTCAAAGGAATCGTTCGCATAACTCAGATAATTCATGTATGACAGAATCAATGGCGCCTAGTTATGACGCCAGTATGACACAGTCTGTATTCTTCCCCTTAGACTCAGGATGGGGTCCACCAGAAGTTAAGCAAAGTGAATCAACCAGTGGAAATCATAATAAAAAACATCGTTCAAATGTAAATCGTTCACATAGTCATCGCATCATTCCTGATTCACATATTGGTATTGAATGTAATCAGTTAAGCTTAAATTCAGATCAATCAAGATGTTTTATACCTTCAAAGTATTATTTTCATCAGAATTCAAGTCAAACAGTACCAGTTGTTAATCCAGAGGGTAATTCTATTTGGCCACCTGTTCTTGTCCAGTGGCGTAGAAGACGACCTAATGGTGCTGTTAGTTCAGAGAATTTTACAGATGTTTTAGATTTTCAAAATACTAAAAGATATAATGAAAATATGCACATTCCAGTTGATCATTATGGACGTCAAAAATCAGAAATTTTACAACGTCATCATCATCATTATAGCACAACAGCAATATCTGAACAACTTGAAAATCAATTGTAAGAAGTTTTGCCTCTTTCATTTTTGTTTGATTATAACATTTAATGATCGATTATTATAACATTATTATTATTATTCACCTTGGCTTCGAAAAGAGCATAGGACTTCGACAGACCATCTCCACTTCATCCTGTTTTTTTCAGTTATCTTCAGATTGTTCCACGATTGTTCATAATCTCTCGTCTCCTCCTCATACGATCTCCTCCATGTTACCATCAACGCATCGTTTCTCATTAGAGTTACTCTCTAGGGTCTGTTGAGCGATGTAAATCAACAGTCTCCCCTGAGTGTCTCTGATCCTTTTACATTTTATAAAAAAAAACAATGATATTCACTGTACCTATTGTGTTGCTATATAATAACTAGAGAAAATGTGGAATTGTCATTATTCAATGTTTCTGTTATTTCAAACGAATTAACACCAACAGTCAAAGTAACGGATAGAATTTTTAACACGTTTGCAATACAGTATCATAATAATTGTTTTTATATCTCTTCTATGAATGTGGTCTGTCAGATTCAGTTGCATTAAGTGAAGTGTGTGTCGATGGCACAGTGGTTAGGACTCTCGCCGACCATGCATATGGTCCGGGGTACGATCCCTTGCCGACGCACACCTGATGTCTATGGTCGGCCTGCAAAATTTGGGCTACCGATATCACATGATGAAAATCCCATAATTGTACCAAAAAATACGGTGTGTAATCAAGAAAACAATAAAATAAAAAATAGGAAGTCTGCTGTTAGAAGTCAGAATTATGACTTCTGAACAATATATGCAAAATGTTCATAGATCTTGTGTCGTTCACTTACAGATATTTTTAAATCATTTAAAAAATATAGTATTTATCACTTGGAGAAAATTCAAATTGTACCTTGTACTCAATTCTTCATCTGCTGCATTTCAAGTTAACAATTTTGCTTATTAGCATGAATTTCGTTTTTGTTTTAGAAATTAATGGAAAGATTATCTCCACTTATGCTTTAACCTTTATTGAAAACTTCCAGCTACCCCACATAATTTGGTCATAAATGCAGTATAAGTGCTTTGAATGTTACTGTGGTGTGTGCTACTGACAAGATTCATCAGTAGTATATAAAGAGACAGCCGTCGGCATAAAAATATCAAACAGCAGGAAGATAGATTTGACATCAGAGAAAGCCAATGATTCAATTGTTGCAGAGATACACTTGGGAGACGTGAAAGGAACTCAAAGAAATACAATATGAAGGCCAGAAGTAGCGCAACACTGAAGATCGGTATAAATGGTGATTTGGAGATGAGGTGCACATAATCTACCTCTATAGAGATAAAAAAATTGTAAACAAATATTCCTTCACCAAATCTTCGACTTCCATCGGTAGAATTGGTATCGCTGCCTCGAGACAGTGGAGATCCTATGACCAACTGCTTTCGAGGAAGGAGACTTCAGGAGCTTCTTATGGGACTTTGAAGCCGTCGTCGAGTTTGGTGAGTGTCAGTGATCTGATGGCGAAGGCAGTCGTGCTTGGGACGCTGCTGATAGGTCCAGCATAGGCGGCATACGACAGTGTAGAGCGGTTAGGTGAGAAGGACACCTGGAAGGTATTAGTAAGACTATTGGCGACAGCGTTCGACAGCCCGATGGATAGGAAGCTGGCAATCTAGCAGTTTGTGCCGTGAAGCTGGGGCTGGACGGACATTCGCTAGTGTTGGCGGTGAAGCTGACAAATCTACTACCTCATGCACTCCTCACATTGGATGAAGAGTCGAAGTGGCAGTTATTGACGTCCCACTTTATCGAAAGTATCCCAGACCACATTTTTCAGCAACTACAACTGGTTAACACCTCACAACTCATGGACATCGGTGAGCTAGCGAAGGTGACCAGACAGCTGTTGAGCACACACTACATTACTATTGTGTTACCTCTTCATATTCTTTCCAACCTAGATGAAGGTGTGAAGCACTTTCGGTGTTTATTTCAAGATTACTGTATTTATTTTAGTTACATCTTTAAGGCACGCTTGTGAAACAAGCTTACCACAGTACACACAGTGAATCTTGAATCATAGTCTTGTTGTTTTATTAATTACTTGGAAGGAAGAGAGGTGCTTTAAGACCTACTAAAAACGGTGTACCTAAAGGTGTTGTACTTTCTGCATTTCACTTAACAGCCTCTTTTCTAGGCGATACACCTATTAGATTTTTGTATAGTGTGAGTAGAGATACTACTTTACTATCTAATGTTGAACAACTGCGGTTATCAAACATTCTTGAACTAAAGCTGCTTAAATGTCAAATTGTTGAACATATAGTTCCAGGTGTAAGCAAGATTTCTATGGATTGCTTTAGACTCAAAAATCGATGGCACTGTTGGACAAAATAAATCAAATATTACCTATCCCAGGATTAACTTTCCTTTTGAGTTTTGTTTGTAGTTTCAATAAATCTTTCTTCCAACCTACTACATATGAAGGCTGAAACTCTCTAGTATAACTCAGCCTTTTTTGTAATTTATAAATTCTTATAAATTATTCTGGTTATTGTTCTTTTCTATTTCTCTTCATTATTACCTGGACTTGTAGAAAAGCACTTAGGAATTTGGAGATGTGCTTCTGACTCAACTGACCGATATACATTTGTTGACAGCCATTCATACTTGTGCATGCATTTGGATAAAATTTTCCTCAAAATGATAAAAAATACCGACTGCAATTTTTCAAAAGAATGTTTACTGAACAAAGAATATTCCTTTCGATAACCTTCTATTCATCAGATTCTACAGTTATATGCATCCATAATAGTGAATGAATTAGTGTTAGTAACAACGTTAATGTTGTTTAAATAACATCAAATCAATAATCATAATAATATTGTGCGTCGGTGGCATAGCGGTTAGGACGCTCACCGACCATGTACATGGTCCTGGGTTCCATTCCCGGCCGACGCACTCGCTAAGCCAGAAATAATGCTGGTGAAGAGGAAAGGTTGGGTAAGAGGCTGGCAATCCCATCCTGTAAAAGTAAACACCACTGCCCCAGAAACGTCAAGCCACTAGCGTGAAACCCTATGTTCCACTGGGGAATGTGAAGGAAAGAGAAAATAATAATGATATTAATGGATTACAGTACGACAGCGTCAACCTAACAATAAACTGAGTACCAGAAAAATTGGGAAAGATAATAATACAAATTTATGAATTTATAGTCTCCACTGAAGGCTGGTCAGATCAGTCTGTCTGTCTGTTTTCGACATAGAACTTTGCACAAATGTGCGGAAGTTCAAGTCGCCACATTCCGTGTAGCACACAAAGCAAGAGAAGTACAAGAAAAGCATAATAGAAACAGTGAGCAAAGGTGTGAGACAAAGGAGTAATAAAGAAATACAAAACAGTTTCATTGAAGATCATAAGTCACAGGGAGTGGATGCATCTGCGCCACTGAGAACGGTTTTGAGCCATGTCACCAATTGTTTCCAACCATAGATTTTTACCGTCCCGAAGACCCCAGCCTGGAAGTCTACACCTTCCTACGTGGCTTAGACCAACTGTTGTGGATTTCATTGACTGGTGCCAAGTTTTTGTTTGACCGCCGCTAGCTTTTTTCCAGCCTGACCCTATATCCGCTAACATTGCTCGTCGGGGGAGGCGATGGCTTGGCATACGTAACACATGTCCTAACCATCTCAGTCTTTGTAGCTTCACGACTTCGTCGATTGATTTCCCCTGCTTACCTAGAACTCTACGCCTAACCTCCATGTTGCTCACCTTATTATGCCACTTTACACGGGAAATAGAGCGCAGGCACCTATGATCAAAGACAGCTAGTCTTTTCATGTCTTCCACTCTCAGTGGCCAGGTCTCACAACCATAAAGGAGGACGGAGCGGACTGATGAGCAGTACAACCGCCCTTTGGTCGATAGTCGAACATCTCGTCTACGCCAGAGTCGGCGTAAACTAACAAATGCGAAACGAGCCCCTTGTATTCGTGCTGAGATTTCGTCAGAGATCAGCCCGTTGGGGCTGATGGTACTTCCCAAATAAGTGAAGCGGTTAACGTTCTCTACCACTTCACTTCCTATTTTTAAACTAGGCGTCGATGTAGTCCAGTCCTGTAACATCATCTTGCATTTGGCGGGAGCGAATCGCATGCCAAACATTCGTAGATTGCGGCTCAAGGTGTTCAGATCAGTAGTAGTGGCTGGCTGGACTTGCTTCTTCTGCACACAAAACACTAGTTGTTTAAGGTGTAATAAAAACCATCAGCAGTTCGATATTAGACCACCTGGTCCAAACCGGCAGGCCACAAAGCCAGCCAGCATTGAAGAGTCCTTCTCCACCATCTACCGGGTACCAAATAAATCACCGAAAGCATCCAGGTATCTCATACTCCAAACAGTAGAGACTATGGTGATTCACCTTAAACAACCGGCGCTCTGTATGCAGAAAAAGCCAGTCCAGCCACCCACTACTACTGCCCTGGCCTTTAGTGAAGACTAAAAATTCATCGATTTGTATTATTATATTTCCCAATTTTTCTGATATACAGTGTATGGTGGTTATGTTGGTGCTATTGAACTTTAATCCATTGATATTACTATTATTGATTCGATGTTATTTGAACATTATTAGTGTTGTTCATAACACTAATTCATTCACTATAATGTATATATAACTGTAGAACTTGATGAAGAAGAGGTTATCGAAAAGAATATTCTTTGTTCAGTAACCATTCTTTCGAAAAAATTGTTTTGTTGGATAGTAAACATTTTCTGTTCTCACAACTTTGTTATTGTGTCTCTTCAGGATAAACAGGAGAAAGTTTCATTGAAATTTATACTTCCATAGCTAAATACAAAACTTCATCCCTACCTTATTTAACAGGCATCTTGTTTCATAAAAGAAATATTGGAATTAAACTAAATTCACCAACTTTTTATTAAGAAGATAAACCCGCAAATTCTAAATTTTTTTCGATTATTCATGTATCATTTTCTGCATCAGTTATGTCATTATA